CCCCACTGCCGGGAGCCCGCCGCCTGGGGCCCAGGACATTGGGACTGGCTCCAAAGGGCCAGAGGGGCTTGGCCCGACCACTCCCCACGCCGGAGAGAATGCGGGGCTCAGCGACCTGAGGCCAGCCTGGCGAGCAGCCGGGATCTGCCCGCTGAACCCGTTCCTGGTGCCACTGGAGCTCTTAGGCAGGGCAGCGTCCCCTGCGAGGTGAAAGGCACAGTGGAAGTCCTGCCTCGGCCCTTGGGCTGTCCCAAGATCCGGTCATGGTGGAAGGTCTGTGACATGGAGCACCAGTGGCCTTTAAAATGCCCATTACACGGGGATCACAGAAATGGAACCACGGCTGTACAGACGGACGGCTCGGACAGCGAACAGCCTGAGGGGCTGTACCTACAAGCGGTGACATGCTGGACAGGCGAGCAGACGGGCTGCCCGCCCCAGTCCCAAGCCTTGCCATGCCTTGTTCTCTGCCAGGGGCCAGGACTGGCCCTGCACCCTGGTGTCCTTGCTGTTCCCTCCCCACCCCTCCCTGTCCTTCAGGGCCAGCATCTCCCGGCCCTCTACCTGTCCCTCCTGTGATCACTCCTGTATGCCCTGCCACCACAACCCGTCACCGCCAATAAAGTTCCCACCAACACGCCTCGTTCCTTGTCCTGCCACTTACCTGTGGGAGTAGGGGCCCTGCGGTGTCAGAGCTTGGGGTCACGGGAGCTGGGGGGCGGGGCACATGTCAGGGAGGAAGCTGGGTCCCCAGGAAAGGCCACTACTGCCATATCTGATGAGATGGCGCCTGCGGTGACCTCGGTTTGGCCATCTGGAGGTGGCGCTCTGACAAGTGGGTGGGAGAGCAGGGCAGTGTCAGGTCAGGTTTTCAGAGCAGGGAGCAGAGCCCCCTAAGGCCCATGACCAGGATGGGGTGTGGCTGCCCCATGCAGCAGGCGGTGGGTAAGGGGACTGTGTCCCCCAGGTCTCAGAGGAGAGCTCATGGGCCTTAGGTGAGATGGGGGCGGGGCCAGCAGGTGGTGTGGCCATTAAGGCTGCTGGATCCCACGTGGCCACCCGTGTGGTTCCAGTGTCAGACATGGCAGTTTGAGAAACATGCTGGGCCCAGCAGATAGTGTATTGGTTATGTTGCTGGACCACCATGTAGTCAACTGCAGTTCGAATCCCGGACCCGGCAGCTTAAAACACACCGGGCACATGTGTGTACCCAAGATCCCGAGAGGAGGATGGAGGAGAAGTGGCATGGCCATCCCCCAGGGGTGATTTCTTGCTCTCTCTCTGACGAGCGCATGCACCCCACAGCCATCTCTCTGTATAAAAAAGACGTTCCTGACACGTGTGAGGACGCCTGCCCAAAAACCCAAAAGAAATGGTGAAGGGATTGCGGCATAATCACCCCCCGCCCGGGGTGCTTTCTCAGTTTCCTGTCTCTGGCAAGCACACATGCCCTCCAGCAAATTAAAAAAAAAAAAAAAAAGAAAAGAAAAAAAGGGGGGGCTGGAGTCCCAGCTGAGCCCCAAGACTCCAAATTGCTGGGGGTGCTGCTGGACCGTTCTCAACGAGGTGCCCCCTCCGTAACCTCCTCCTGCCCGGTGGGTGAGGGTCTGGGAGGTCCAGGGGAATGGGCTGCCCCACCCGGGTCCTAACCAGGCACCACCCTCCCCCACCCTGACTAGTTGTCTGCAAGTCAGGAAATCTGTCCGCGAGCCTGTCTTCATACAGCCTTCCTTTTATAGCAACGCTCGTTCCTCCCCACACACGCTGCACACGGCTCCCGGGGCCCAGCAGCTCGGGTGGGCGGTGGCGCAGGGCCGGGGGGGGCAGCCTGCCGCACAACACCAGGCTCGCGGGCTGCAAGTGCACGCGATCCTGGAAGCAGGAGGGGCGAGGCTCAGGTCTGGGGCTTCAGCTGTGCTTTCTGGAGCTGCCCACCCCAGCGAGCTGAGACCACCCCATCCCAAGTCTCCCACGGAGCTGAGTCCATCCTAACACTCTCAGGGCCTCTCCCAGCTTAAGAGAAAGCTGCGTGTGTGTGTGTGTGGTGTCTTGGCTGTGCCCAGGGCTACAGGATCAATAATTAAACCTTAGTCCCCCACAAGCTGGTGACAGGTGTATGGGGATCAGGGTGTCTTCACAGTCCTGGGAGCCGCCAGGAATATTTGGAAGCCAGACCCGGGTTCTACGTCTAGCCCGACTACACTCCAGGCACGTGACTGTGGGCAAGTCGCTTGAACAGCCTATACGACAGTCTCCTGGCTTGGAGAATGGGGCTGCTAATGGGGTCCTAGCTCCTTCTCAGGGCCCCAAAAGGAACGCGCTATGATCCGAAGCGCTAACTCAGCACGCTGCCTGGCATGCACTAAGCGCTCAATAATAGCTTTTATTACTGTCATCGGCTCAGAGGCAGGGAGGGGTGAAAAGGCATGGGAGAGGCATGGAGGGTGGCACGGGGGTCACGGGGAGGCGGCCGGAAGGCCGAGGAGGGGCGGAGGTGGGCACCGAGGAAAAGGCGCGCTGACCTGTTCTAGGGCCCGGGCTGGGGGCGGAACGAGCCTGCCCGCGCTCTCCCCCCACGGAAGGCGCCTCGCATCCTGGACGCAGCCGGCGTGGTCGGTCTTCCGGCTCCTTCTCCGGGCTGGCCGTGCAGCGCATAGCGATAGGCGGGGTCCCCCGTGGGCCTGGGGGAGCCTGCCGTGCAGCAGGGGCTCGACAGTGGGTTACAGTGGGTTCGAGGATGACCAGAGATGGGGAAAGAAGGGACAAGGGACTCAGGACGCAACCTCCACGCCCGGAGGCAGGACAACAGCAGAGCCACCTACACATTGGGAGGACGCGGGAGCACTGCGGGGTCCTCTTCCCACCTGGGATCAGAGGAAGGGACAGGGCGGATCAAGGCACCAGGTGGGCTCCGGCCTGGCCAGGAGGGGAGATGAACCGGGGCTAAGGAGGCAGGGGCTGGACTTCTTCTGACGCCCCCCTCCCCATGGGCTGGGTGGGGCGCTGGGGCGGGTTCCTGGGTGCTGTCCAGGCCTGGGGGTGCCCCCGCCGGGCCGGCCCTCGGAGACCCGGCAGAGGGCCCGCCCGGGGCGCCGCTCACACCAAGGCGTAGTCGAACTGCCCGCGCTCGAGCGCCTCCTTGTGGTCGGTCCAGGACGAGGCGGGCATGCGGCTGTAGGGGTCGAGCAGGATGCGCACGCAGCGCACCATCAGCAGCACCAGCACCACGAGCAGGCAGAGCACGAAGGCGAACACCGTGCGCTGCTCCGCGTCCAGGCCCGCGCCCACCGGGGGCCCCGTCGACGGCGGGGGG